TGGGGGGCGAAAGGTGCCGGGGCCCCGGGCATCCATATCGGGAGAGCATCCAACGCAAAGAGTCGAATCGAACAGTAGAACCCTTTCCGCCCTTCCCTGGCAACAATATTACACATATACTAATAAATATTGTGTTTATTTATTTATACTTATAAATATTGTGTTTATTTATTTATTTGATCTTTTTTCGGAGGGGGGATTATTATTGATCATAGTTCTTTAATGTTTGGCCTGTAAAGATTCAAACTAACATCATAGATTCCGTTTTCTTCTCCCCCTCCCCCCTTTCAGAAACTTTCCTTCATTGTCGCTAAGTTTCAGTTTGTCAATACAATTTCATTGCGTGCCATGTTTGATACACTTGCCGCCTATTTGCCATCCCGAGTCTAGAGTATAATCATAAAAACATTGCATCAGAAGCTAACAGCACGGTACCTGTGCTACAGTTTTGGTGATAAATGCATATCTCGCCTCACAAACTCTACCTGTCAATAGGCTACTCCACAAGTATGAATGATCTTTACACATCCCTGGGGAAAAGAAATCGTGGCACTTTTGTTGCGTTATGTTACGCCTCCAGTCGTTAGTTAATTTACATTCAATTACCCATTACCTGTTCGTCGCTTCGTGGCCGGTCTTATATATACAAGACTACACTATATCTAGAAAGATCACGAGATTTAAGGAAAAGACGTGAAAGTTCGAGAATGACGTGGCGTGATACTAGTCACGTGACCTCGATGTCGTAACAGTTATTTATCTGCCCTTATTTTAACGATTTTGAACTGTTAATGCAAATTATTTTTTCATAACAGTTTTGAGTTATTTTAAATAATGACGTATAATAACAACAAAATAAATGTGCTTTTCTAGATTTGATTTGCAAGTAAAAGTTTATTACTGAAATAAATGAATGTGTGTCGTTTTTTTTTTAAATCATGAATACAATAGTCAATCACTAGTCTGTTTTATGTTTAAAACAGTTTATTTCTAGTGTCTCTTTAGCTCTATATATTTAATTATTCTTTAGTCACATATTATATTGATTGATACGGAAAACGTCCTGTTGTTATTGTGTTCTAAAATTATTTAAATTAAGATAATAAAAAGTGTCGAACTAGTTTTAAACCAATGTTTAAAATTGTTTGAAGCACTTTTCTACTTTCTTCTGGAACAATTGAGTTACCCTGATCCAAGATCACTCATCTGTTCAATATTAAAAAATGAAAATTCCCATGGAAATTTACCGCTCTCAAAATTCCAGAGAATTTTGCAACGCTATGTGATGTCCACGATTCGCATTTGCAGTAATATTCAAATATAAGTGAAGATTTATAATTCCTACATTTCAGATCCTACATTTATAAGTTGGAAGGTAGTGTGATGTTCCCTTATATTGTCCATATGCTTTTGAAAATGAAAACGAAGGACAGTGAAACATATATCATTTCTACTTACAATATAAGAAAGTGCCTCATTTTGGTTTCGAGTTTTAAAATTTAACCAATTCTGGAGAAGGGATGAAGTTTTGTCAGGAAAAAGAACATTCTCTGTTCTTTCCTTTTTTTATTCGTTTGTGAACAAAACTTCGATCATCTTATACATGGTTATGTTGTACCCTGCAAAATCCGGGAAGAGCAAACCCAAGTGTGGGAGCAATTAGCCCTGTTGCCCTATGGTAAATGACGCCTCTGAATTAACAAGCAAGATCATATCTATTGATCTATACACCTGGAAAAAGTTAAGCACCCCGTGTTTTTTTCAAGTGATTCAGATTCGACGTTCTTGTGACTGATTATAAATTACCATTCAATCTAAACGTGTTTATC